TGTCTCTGACCCTGCCTTGGTGGGAGGTGCTGTACATTTCAGACCTACATAACAACGCCCACATTCCCCTCCAGTTCTAACTCACTATGGCTGCACATCGTCCCGAAGCAGCTCTCAACAGAGAACATCGAACGGAAGAAACCTTGAAATCATTCCCTGACCTCAAAAAGCCACGTCCTGGACCCAAAAGATTGCTCTGGTGCCCATGTGCCTGGTGCCATGTGCCGAAGTGTGCAGGGCACGGGCCGCACACACCTGCTCCGTTATGCTGCGGGCTCCCAGGGAGCAGCCAGGCTTATCCTCCATCCAGTCCCCCGACAGAACGTCAGAAACTTACAGCGGCCTCTGCAACAGTGGGATGCAGTGAGAAATACTCAGAAGGGCTCTGAATACCCACTAGGATGTCTTTCTGACCCTCTTCCCACTCAGTGAGAAGAGCCAGGTGTACCGTGAGAACGAACTGACCAACCTTCCAGTAATGAGCTCATCCGGGAACCACTGCTAAGGAAGCATGCGTTCTAGACTCCGGTATCTCCCAACAAAGTGATAAGGCAGTTGCATCTCTCACTCCACACTAACCAGACAGGCCCACCGTCCCCATCATCTCTGCTTCCCCTGGTGGCCTGAACTCCCACCGGAGAACCCACCACCTTCCCATGATGCAGGTGTGGTGCCCAGATGGCACCACAATGGAACACTGCAGCCGCTGTCCCCTGAGGCAGGGGTGGGAGCCTTTCTTCTGCCAAGGGCCACCTGGACATTTAGAACATCATTCTCGGGCCATACAGAACCATCTGGCCAAACATGTAATTAACTCACCCCAATGCCTTGGCAGGGCCAAATGGTTTCATGGGCCTGATACGGCCTGTGGACTGGACCTTCCCCCCCTGCTACGGCTAAACATGGTGATTGAAAAAATCCTGTTTCAATTCTTTAGGGAAGTCTGATGACAGGTGAGAAATGTGAGGGCCTTCTGTGCTGGGTCCGAGCTGAGGTGTCTGTGGTTTAGGTTCCAGCGGTTGGACACGCCTACTGGATGTACCCAAGTGGCCTCACTAGCTGCCCTCCCGAGTCCCCCCATGAAATCCTTCACCGTGGTGTGGGGCCCACAGGGGAACCTCACTGATCTCTACTGTAAGACTCATTTAGCTCGGTTGTTTTGTTCTTCAATATATTTTTATTGATTTCAGAGGGGAAAGGAGAGAGACAGAAATATCAATGATGAGAATCACTGATCATCTGCCTCCTGCACGCCCCACACTGGGGATCACGCCTGCAATCCGGGCATGTGCCCTGACCGGGAACTGATCCGTGACCTCCTGGTTCATAGGTCAATGCTCAACCCCTGAGCCACGCCTGCCAGGCTCCGTGGGTTTGTTTTTATAGCGGGGGCATGTGTGACCTCTGCCAGGTGTCAACGCCGGCAGGTCCAGGGCCAGGGGCAGACTTCTCCTCCTCTCTCAGCAGCGCTCATCCTTGGGCAATTGTTCAAACCTGCATCAGGGCTCAGCGGTGCACATGTTTTCCAAATTCAAGTTGACAAGTGGTAATTCCACAATATACTTTGAGATCCTGGAAGGTTCCAGTAGGTCCAGGACTGGGTAGTGCCCTCTTTAAGGAAAAGAGAAGCTCTGGGTCAGCCCTGTCCAGAGTGTACCCCCACATAAGGGGACTTGGGCTGCTGAGAGAATGGGCGGGAGGAAGGCTATGCAACCACCAGAACACTGAGGTTACATGGGCACCGTGACTGCCCGTTCCTTAGAAAGCACGTCTCCAGAGACGGGCGCACGAAATGGCAAACGCGACCGCGGAAAGGTGGAGAAGTTGTGCTCCCGAGAAACAGAGGCTGGAAGGAGACCCTCTGTGAGCGTGACTGCGCCCACCGCAAGCTCTCCCCAGTGGGCCAGCTCTGAAACCCAGACCCTCCGTCTACTCTAACCCCGAGAAAGGCTCCTCCTAACTCTATCTCAGGACGGGGTTCTTTAAATACTAAACACTGCTGACATTTTCTGTGTCTCTCACCTGACTGGAGAATGGATAAACGTGTTTGGGTTTGGGCCCGGCCTAGCGCTGAGACTCTTTTCAACTTGTTTGTGGTGTTTCAAGAACCCCTTCGTGTTAGCTAGCACTGCCAATGGGCGGACCCGCCCATGGACAACCACTTATTCAGTGTCTTTCCTCTAGAACAGCGGTTCTCAACCTGTGGGTCGCCACCCCTTTGGGGGTCGAACGACCCTTTCACAGGGGTCGCCTAAGACCATCGGAAAACACATATATAATTACATATTGTTTTTGTGATTAATCACTATGCTTTAATTATGTTCAATTTGTAACAATGAAAATAATCCTGCATATCAGATATTTACATGATGATTCATAACAGTAGCAACATTACAGTTATGAAGTAGCAACGAAAATAATTTTATGGTTGGGGATCACCACAACATGAGGAACTTTATTGAAGGGTCGCAGCGTTAGGAAGGTTGAGAACCACTGGTCTACGCTAAGAAGGAGGAGGGAAGTCCTATCGTGCTCACGGCATCCTCCTCACAGGCTCCAGCAAGGTTCCTGCTGTTACAGGCACAGGGAGTGTTTGCTAAATGCATGACTAGATGAATGGATGAATGAATGGACATGCCCCTCAGCCAGCTTTCCATCACAGACAGAGATCAGCAGTACTCGTCATGTGAAGCTGCTGCTGGAGAGGCCTGACCCGTGTGGTGATGAGATGAATTTTATACATCAAGGCGAAGAAGGAAGAGGTCAGAGGGGTGAGCGGACCTAGGTAGCCAGGAAAATAAAGGAACAAGTTGCTAACAATGTAATGAAACTGTTTTCTGCTGCTCCTCTTGACAAGGGATTACTTGGCAAACTTCTGCCAGGGCCAGCCAGGTGCGGGATGTTCCGCCCCAAGGGCATCGCGGGCACAACTAGCCCGGTTTCTGGGGTCGCCCAAGAGCAGCCAGGGGGAATGCATAAACAAAGGGCGTGGCCGTGCTCCAATGTAGCCTTACACGTGGACAGCGACATTTGAATTTAATGTAGTTTAGTCTTTTTTTGCTTTCCCCAGTGATTCAAAATGTAAAACCCTTTCTTTTCTCATGGGATTTGGTCCACGGTGTGTAGTCATCAACCCTGCTTTGGACGAGCACTATTTCCACCCTCACAACTCTCTCCACCCTCAGGAGGGACAGCCCTCCTTCATGGAAGCAGATGCTCAAGCAAAAGTATTGTTTGGAAGGTCATAGGCATCTGCCACACTATTCGGGACGCACCCACAAAAGAGCCATTATAAAGCTGCCAGAGATAACTGTTTGTTAATGTTGTAGCTTCTTTTCTTCGCCTGCGTGCTCTTTGTGGAGAGAGAGAAATAATAAATAAAATAGGTGACCAGTTCCTGAGTAACAAGGGGTCCACACTCGAAATTACAGTCTGGAACGCCTAGCAGAGCAACCATGACAACTCCAGTGGACAATTTACTCTAGCTAATCACTAAGAATTTAACTTTATCAATTACAGAAACAAATGCAGGAACTTGTATCACTTTATAAGCTCTATCAGCAACACATGTAACCTCGGGCTGAATCCCATTTTTTAAGGGCTTACTACCTTTCAATATAAGTGAGCTTTGGAGGTGAGATAAATACATTGCTTTTTATCTTCCCCCAAAACTTGCTAAATTTAAAGATGTTTCCAAAGATTTACCTAAAAATCTTGGGGTTTTATGATGCACCTTTAGCCTGTATAAATATCCTACTGTTCTAATAAGTTTGTATTATTTGTCTGAATAGAAAAATATTAACTAGCTGAACAAAATAACTTTTGAGACAATCTTACTTTAAGAAGTTTAATTTGTCAAATAAGATGATAACTAATTTTTAAAAATCCCTTCTATCCTGAAAAGTCACAACAAAAAGTTTAAGTGTGTTTTGGCTGATTTTTTCCCTGCAACTGTTTGAAGCTATAAATGACTTAACTCAGTAAAATTCCAAATGTAATTATCTTCTGTACTTAGCCTAGGGCTCTCCATATATCTCAGCATTGCTGTCTCGCATACAAAACAGCCTTTCCGACGGCTGGTAACAATGTAATGTACAACATTGTTTTAATTTCCCGGAGAGGGCGAGCCTCTGGCACTAGCCAGGAGGGAGGCCCGCCCGGCTCCAACGCCTTTGCAGTGTGGCTGCACAAATGGGGTTTGCAGGGTCGGGCCTTTGCAATTGCACATTTTAATAATCTCCATTTCTGACCCAATTTTTTCTTTTAGAAACGAATTTTCTATTAATTACACCAAGAATGGAGTTACTGATAAAACATGGTAGTGCACAAACAAGTTATGTCAGGGAGTGGAGCCCACGTTAAAAATGCCCCCTCCACTCCTCACAACTGGGACCCACAGGAAACTAGTCATAAAGTACCTTCAATATGACCCAAAGATTTCCCAGTACAAAGATTTCACATGTGTGTGTGTGTGTGTCTGTCTGTGTGTGCATGTGAAGCGTGTGCAGGGAACTCTGGGTCTCCCCGTTGTGGACAGAAAGGGTCTGTGTGTGAGGCCCGAGGATGGACGGCCTGCAGGTGCACTCACTGGCCCCTTCTCGCTCACATTTGCTTGCTCTCTCTCCATTCACATCGGTTCTCTCTCAGCCTCTCTTCCGGGCTTCTCCCCCCAGCTCCAGGTTAGTAACATTAGCAACTTAAGGCACTTAACTAACAACAGTTAACCAGAAAGTTAAAGGAGAAGAGAGAAGGGAGGGAGGGAGGGAGAGAAACGGGGCGCTGTCAGGGGTGAGAGGTGGCTGCGGGCACACAAACGCACAGAACTCCAAAGAGCGAACTGAGGCAGGACTTTCCCAGAGAGTGAAAAAGCAAATCAATCAAATACAACAAGTTCGGAACCTTCCATTCGCCAATGAGTGACAGGGACTCAGTGCAGAGCACTAGAGAGGTTTGGAGTTTGAGGAACACTGAGGTAATAGGAAAAGGAAATCGGGTTTTACCTGTAGCTCTAACTGCTGAACAACCTGCATTTGTACTCTACATTGAGCTGTACTTCTATCGTCCAGCGCATGCTCACTGTTGAGATGT